GATAAGCGGAGGAAAATGGATGGATGCATTGTGCATATTCCTAAACAATTTGTAGGCCTTTTTCACAGCTGCAGACATTTTGATTTGTCATAGCAAAAAAACTAAAGGTGTTACTAATAACATTAGTATTAACATATCATTGAGTCCAGTCATCATTGTCATTATTTAGACTTTGCTTTTCCTGAACAAAATACAGAAACCAGTTGTTCCACTATGAACATGGGGCATTAGAGGTGGTCACCAGTCTTCCTCTGACTAATCAGCCACTAGGTGGCAGCAAATAGTCATCGATGGGGCATACACAAAAAGTCAGTGACCTTGATGACCAGCTGATTCATTAAATCCAAATGTAAGAATTCACAGATATATATTACTGTCACCTTGTACATGTCATAATGTGAAATGTATGTAGCAGCTTCAGAGATAAGACATGGAAAGAAACAGTACAGGTCGGAAATAGATGTTCAAAAACCCTCTTTGAGATCTATGATTCATTAGGGCCATAACGCAATCTTTGCACACATGCCCAGCCTATATTTATACTATATAAATAAGGCTAATGCCACAGTGTCTAATCCACATGCAAACAGAGAGTTGAACTGCTCCACCTGACACAGAAACCTGCTGTTTCTTCTAAGCTGGGTGGGTTTTGATGCAATGCCAGACAACACCTAAATCTAGTCATTAAATGATGAAACAGTCTCACCTCAAGGCTCATTTAGCGATTGTTCTGGAACCACTGCTCATATAACCTTCATCATCAAATAGATGTTCCTTTGTTTGTTTTGTCCTGAGCATTGTAAGGCCTTCTCTGCCATGCTGGCTTAAATGTTCAAAGTTCATTCATGAGGTTGGAAACAGCGACTGACTGAATAATCTAACCTTAAGGTCCATATTGTAGCTGTTCTAGAGCACACACGATTTTCATCCACAGGTGAAAAATAAAAAGCTCCAAAACGCTACTAAATTCACCTGGTTTTGTCAGCTGCTGTTGCCATGGTCAAGAATGAGTTTTAAAACCTTAACTGATTTTTTCATAAAGGTTGTAAATGCACCACTGAGACAGATTTACAATCAACTGCAACAAGAAGGAAAACCACAAAATGTTATTGCTACTTCTGAATTACATCGGAATAAATAAATTTGGCTTTTAATAAAACAGATTCAGATCTCTTCATGTGGGAAAATGAGGAAGACTTATTCAGTGCCTGAAACTGAAATGCTTCAGTTAACCCCCCATGCAACAGGTGTTTTCATTTCCAAATGAGGTCAAGTTGAACCTGCCACCTTGCTGAACATGAAACATCACCTGATCATGATGCTGTAGACATACCTGTAATGTAAGTAAAATATAACTGCAGCAAAACGTATGCTGGATGTTAGTCTGATGTTTAAAACGACCAATCTCTTCAACGTATTATAATGAAAACTGCTGGTATAATAGTTTCTTTGTGGTGCTTTAGTTAATTGTCAGCTCAGCTCAAAGAAAGCAGCAATCCCTGCTCCTGTCGTCAGGGATTTAGGGAAGGACAGAATCCGAGCCCCGACTGAGACAAACAATGGCAGCTATGAAAAGCGAGGGGAGGGTCGGCCTAATGCAAATACACACTTTGTGCTCCGTGGAGAACCTGCGCTAAACTTAGACAAACTTCCAACCAAAGTGAGTAGTGAACCCTGACAGTAAAGTCGGGTTTTTTGTATGATGTCTCTTTATACCCAAAGATTTCGTGACAAAGTTCTTACACTGAATCTTTTTTATGGTTCAGCAACAAGTGTATGGAATTTGTTGGTGATCACCGCCTGAGAGTGGACGGTTTCTGGAAACAGGACGCCGCAGCATCACTGCAACGTGTCGAGCGCACCTGCTGAAGGGCAGAACATTGATGCAGAAAAGGTATGGCAACAAGAAATACCGTCGTTTCGTTGTTGCAGCGTTCAGCAAAGCAAACTTCCCCCCTT